GCTGCAGTGGCTCTCATCCCGGTGGGCGCTGGTGCCGTCTCTGGTTCAGGTGTGGCGTCAGCATGTGCGCGGCTGAGAGAGGCAGGGACTTCTGAGCACAGTGGGTGCCGCACCGGTGCCCGCCCTGGGTTCAGAGGTCGGCGTCTGAGAGTTGGGGTTCACACCAGTGTGAGCATGGGCTCGCCCTCATTCTCCTTGTTCCCAGTTCTCCCTCGTAATATCATCATTTTCGTAATGTGTTGTATTGTCCCATCTTTTGGTCTCTCCGTGCTGCATTCTGGGTAATTTTCTTTAGACCCACTTCTGTTTCCCTAAGTAGGTCCTCATCTCCTTGTTGCTTCCTCTTCAGCCTGTCTGTCAGGTTTGTGGTTTCAGTTATTAGTTATTCTTTCTAGAAGTTCCAGTTACACATTTTAAGGAATTGGTCAGTTCTGACATTCTCCTGATACTCAGTCAGACTTTTGTAACACTCTTTTATTTCTTTATTTTTAAAAGATTTATTTATTTATTTGAAGGCAGAGTTACTCAGAAAGAAGGAAGGAGAGAGAGAGAGAGAGAGAGAGAGAGAGAGATTGATTGATTGATTGTTTCACTCCCCAAAAGGCTGCAACATCCAGGGCTGTGCTAGGCTGAAGCCAGGAGCCTGGAGCTTCTTCTGGGTCTCCCGTGCATGTGCAAGGCCCAGGAGCTCGGGCCGTCCTCCACTGCTCTCCCAGGCCCATTAGTAGGGAGCTGGATTTGGAGTGGAGCAGCTGGGACTCAAACTGGTGCCCATACGGGATGCCGGCACTGCAGGCCGTGGCTTAACCTGCTTGTCACCACCCTGAACACACTCTTTTATTTGTTTATTAAATATACCTGTTTTATACCTGATAATTCTGACGAATTCAGGTCTTACTTTGTAGTTTGGTTTGCTCATGTTGCCTTATTTCTTTGTGCGTCTGAACCACAAGCCAGTTACTTGCACCTCTGTCTGTAAATTCTTAGAAGCCTGATTTTAAACTGTATCCCTTTGCCAGGTGTCTGAGGTTGGTCCCAGCCAGGGCTCCCTTGTACCGAGAATTTGAGTTTGGGTCAGGTGAATTCTGGGCACAGATCTGCAAGTTGGTGGTTGTGGCGGCAGCCTGCCACGGCGCCAGCTCCAGTACCGTATTCCTGAAAAGAAATTTGATCCTGTGTTTTTAGGTATCATGTTCTAGGGTCTCTAGATACGTGTGTTCTGCTGTGTTGCCAGAAAAGGAAGTCCCGAGTGGCTTGTTTGAGTGTGGTTTGTGTGTTTGCCCGTGTGTGCGGAAGTGAAAAGTTGGGAAGAGTTTGGGACTGTCATCAGAATTGGTCTTTGATGATTAGGGCAAGAGGCCGTCTTCCGGAGGTGTCCGTGGCTCGCGGTGTCTGATCGAGTGCGTTATGGCCAAGGAAATACCAGAGAGAAGCACTAACATTGTGAATGAGAAGTGATGAGGATAGCTGCTGTTAGATTAATATTAATGTTTCCGGAGATTTGTGCTTCTCCAGCGTTTCTTGTCATCCCTCAAGCACCCAGGAGTTCAGCGTATCAGACAGATGGGTCTGACTGCACCTTCCTCCACACCCAGGAGTTGCTGTTCTCAGACTTTGTTATTCAAACAGCGAAGCCTTCAGTGAAGTTTGAACTGGCGGAGCGGCTGAGTCATTGCTTCGGGTCTTTCCTGAGCTCTGCTGCCAAGCCCACTCTGCCAGGCTTGTTTCTCCATCATCCTCACGTTGTTGTCGCCTGCTAAACCAACAAAGCTTGGGACCACGTGTTTATAGCTGGAGAACAGGACTGACCGACTGTAGCTTCTCTGCCTGTTATCTGCAATGTTGGGAGTACACAGGACTTGTGATTCTTTCAGTGATTTTATTTTACTTATTTTTATTCTTTTTTTAAAAATTTTTATTATTTTTTTTTTGACAGGCAGAGTGGACAGTGAGAGAGAGAGAGAGAGAAAGGTCTTCCTTTGCCGTTGGTTCACCCTCCAATGGCCGCCGCAGCTGGCGCACAGTGCTGATCCGATGGCAGGAGCCAGGTACTTATCCTGGTCTCCCATGGGGTGCAGGGCCCAAGGACTTGGACCATCCTCCACTGCCCTCCCTGGCCACAGCAGAGAGCTGGCCTGGAAGAGGGGCAACTGGGACAGAATCCGGCGCCCCGACCGGGACTAGAACCCGGTGTGCTGGCACCTCAAGGCGGAGGATTAGCCTAGTGAGCCGTGGCGCCGGCCTCTTTTGGTGATTTTAAAAGATTATGGTAGGGGCCGGCGCTGTGACACAGTGGGTTAACGCCCTGGCCTGAAGTGCCGGCATCCCATATGGGTGCCTGTTTGATACCTGGCTGCTCCACTTCCTATCCAGCTCTTTGCTGTGGCCCAGGAGGGCAGTGGAGGATGGCCCAAGTCCTTGGGCCCCTGCACCCGCGTGGGAGACCAGGAAGAAGCTCCTGGCTCCTGGCTTCGGATTGGCGCAGCTCCAGCTGTTGTGGCCAACTGGGGAGTGAACCAGCGGATGGAAGACCTCTCTCTCTCTCTCTCTGCCTCTCCTCTCTCTGTGTAACTCTGACTTGCAAATAAATAAATCTTTTAAAAAAATTATAGTAGATATAAAAATATAACATGCTTTTAATCTTACTAGTATTAAGTATTTTGATGTATTTTTATTATATCTTAAAATGAAGTTAGGATTATAGTATATATTCAGCCTCTTTTATAACTTACTTTTATTATAATTTGCCCAAATTTCCTCATTTCAGTAAATATTTTTTCAGAACCTTTAATAGTTGCGTAATGTATTCTCATTGGTGAATCATGATTTTTGCACCATTTTCCCGTTGGATGTTTGGGGGGATTTCTGCCTTTTTACTTTCATAAATAAGGCAGCAGCGAGCATTGTTGTACACATTTGTGAATATCTTGAATTATGTCCTTAAAAATATTTTTAAAGACCAGCTACACAGGACATGGAATATAAGTATTTCTGTGGCTCTCGATATATGTGACAAATTCTGTCATAGGGTTGTTATATTAATGCTTACTTTACTACATCTTTTTCAAAATGTGTAGTCCTGTGGTAATAATTGTTTTATAAATGTCTAAGTAAAATTTGTTTCTTTGGTTGCTAATGAGATAGGAATTGTTTACTTGCGGCTGCCAGTTAGGGGTTTCATGCTCACTTTCGCGATTAGCCCATCGGTCTGTCTCTGACTTGTGTGTGAAGTTACTGCCTGTAGCGTGTATTGCCGTCTCTACACCCTGCGCTTCAGGCTTGATTGTGAAACGCCTGTGTCAGAGCTCCGGGTTTCTGTGCGGTGAAGCGTAGCGCCCTCTGGTGAGGGCTTCCGTCCCCACATCCTGGTGACCATGGCTGTGGCTTTGCCCCACAGGGCAGCAGCAGGTGGTCCCCAGGTGCAGTCTGCGCAGTTCACAGGGTTCTCACGTCCCCACTTCCATCATTTGCCTTGACTTCTCGTCTGCTCGAAGTTTACTGTTGCTAGCAGGTTGTTTCTGTGTCCCAGCGCTGTTTGCTGGTCATCCTTCCTGAAAGACAGTTTGAGAGTTAGAGACAGAGAGAGGTCTTCTATTCGCTGGTTCACTGCCCAGATGGCCGCAACGGCCGGAGCTGCGTCGATCAGAAGCCAGGAGCCAAGAGCTTCTTCGGGGTCTGCCACGCGGGTGCAGGGGTCCAAGGATTTGGGTCATCTTCTGTTGCTGTCCCAGGTCACAGCAGAGAGCTGGATCGGAAGAGGCATATCCAGGACTTGAACTGGCACCCATATGGGATGCCGATGCTTCAGGCCAGGGCTTTAACCCGCTGCACCACAGTGCTGGCCCCTATACTACATTCTTAGTTACTGTAGCCTAATAGTAACTTTTGATATCACTGGTCTCGCAATCTAACTTTTTTTTTTTTTTTTTTTCAAAACTGTGTGGCCCATTCTTAGTCCTTACTTCTGCATGCAGGTTTGAGAATGAGCTGTACTGGGAGTCTTGGTGGTGACTGCCTTCTGCTTTCTGGGCTGCCGTTAGCTGTGCAGGGTAAAATCGTGCAACGTAGCTAGTTGCTTGCAGTTTTTTAACTCTGTGTTCCTTGAACTTCCTTTTGCAGGTTCTTGTTTCCTCCCTCCCTTTTGTAAAGCACCAGCTCTCTGCTGGTGGCGGCATTGTAGGCGTGCGCAGTAATTTAACCTGTCCTTCACGGACAGACTTTGTAGACTCGTGCCTGTCTTTTGGTCCTGCAGCTGCGCTCAAACATTGCAGGTCGTCGGTGGCAGAGCGGACGTTGTGTAGCTTATTTTCTGTCTTCCCAAGCCTGCCCTCTTCTCTTTCCACATTGCGTGAGTGGCTTTGACCAGGAGTCTGCTCTGTGCCTCTCAGGAAGCCTCGGGCTGGAGTCAGCAATAAACCTCGGTGCTGTCCGTAATGTACCATAGAGAAATACTTTAACGCTTTTTCTTAAAGATTTACTTATTTATTTGAAAGGCAGAGTTGAAGAGAGAGAGAGAAAGTCTTCCATCTGCTTGTTCACTCCCCAGATGGCTGCAGTGGCCAGAGGTGTGCCGATCTGAAGCCAGGAGCTTCTTCCTGGTCTCCCACACAGGTGCAGGAGCCCAAGGACTTGGGCCATCTTCCACTGCTTTCCCAGGCCACAGCAGAGAGCTGGATTAGAAGTAGAGCAGCCGGGACTCGAACTGGTGCCCCTGTGGAATGTCGGCACTGCAGGTGGCGGCTTTACCCACTACACCACAGTGCCGGCCCCAAAGATTTTTTTAAAATGTGATATCCTGGAGACATGTGTGGTGAGGCCGCCAGACGGCCAAGATGCGGAGTGAGTGAGCCTGAAGCAGCTCTCTGCACACTTGACCGTGGGAGGGCAGGAGAGGAAGACGGGCAGATGGTGGAGTTTGCTTTTTTCTTTTGGTCACTGGGTCTTCTGTGAGAGGCTGAGTTGGCCCCTTCTGTAATGGAATTTGTCCTTCCTCTTTCTAGCCTCCGCCAGGCAGTGTGAAAATGCACAGTGCACCCAACACGCAGCCCGCGATCATGAAGCCCACCGAAGAGCACCCCGCTTACACGCAGATCGCCAAGGTCAGTCCCGTGCAGTCACCGTGTGCTGTGTTCTCATTTCTCAGCTCACTTTTGGATCTGTCTTAGCTTTCTGTCTGTCGGTACCTGCTCCTCGTGGTCAGTTTATAATGTGTGCTTTTTGTTGTAATGATTGAATTCATTTATCGTCTTGGGGTGCAGTTCCCAGTGCATGGTACTGGCGCAGTACTCTAACAGTGACAGGCTAACACAGTAACCGATGTTGCTGGGAGTGAGTCCATGGCTGAGCCACGGACAGTAGGGGGTGAGGGTGCGTCCAGGCACAGTGCCCGTGAACAGATACTGGTGTCGGGTGAGGGCACGCGGAGGTGTACACTGGGATTTCTTGACTGCGTCTTTATTTCACTGTTTGTGCTTTGGACGACGTTACAAAGCCCTCTTGTGTTTGACCCAGTTTGTAAGGCCCAGTTCACTCCCCCTTTTTCTTTTCATCCATTGCCCTCAGCTCTCTCCACTGCCCTCCTTCCTGGCTCTCAGTGAGGCACAGAGGTCGCCCCACGCCGGCCTCGGACCATGCTCTAAGGAGAGCGGTGGCGTCTGTCGCCATGGGCTCGGTGTTTCCACGGGGGCTTTTCCCACGCAGGAGACCAGATGACCCCCACCGTGTTTTCTGAACCCACTCTGCAGAGCGCCTGTGGATTTTAGGACAGTCGAGCAAGGCTTTGCTCGCACAGAGCAGGGAGGCGGTCCCACACCCTGTACCCCTGACCTGCTCACCGGCTGCGCTGTCTGTCTGTCTAGGAGCACGCCTTGGCCCAGGCCGAGCTGCTGAAGCGCCAAGAGGAGCTGGAAAGGAAAGCTGCGGAGTTAGACCGGCGGGAGCGGGAGATGCAGAACCTCAGTCAGCACGGTAGTACCCTCGGACGGCTGGGGGGCTGCGCCCGCGGCAGGGGGCTCGCCAGGGCCGGGTGGGGGGACACTGCGTTGGCTGGGGGGTACGCTGCGCTGGCTGCAGGGGGCTCGGCCGGGGGTGACACTGTGCCGGCTGCAGGGGCTCGGCCAGGGGTGACGCTGTGCCAGCTGCAGGGGGCTCGGCCGGGGGTGACACTGTGCCGGCTGCAGGGGCTCGGCCAGGGGTGACGCTGTGCCAGCTGCAGGGGGCTCGGCCGGAGGTGACACTGTGTCGGCTGCAGGGGCTCGGCCAGGGGTGACGCTGTGCCGGCTGCAGGGGGCTCGGCCGGGGGTGACACTGTGTCGGCTGCAGGGGGCTCGGCCGGGGGTGACACTGCGCTGGCTGCAGGGGGCTCGGCTGGGGGTGACACTGCGCTGGCTGCAGGGGGCTTGGCTGGGGGTGACACTGTGTCGGCTGCAGGGGGCTTGGCTGGGGGGTGACGCTGTGCCGGCTGCAGGGGGCTCGGCCGGGGGTGGAGCGCTCCTCTGTGCAGGTGGCAGGTCCCTGTGGGCGCCGCGCTTCTCCCTGGTGGTGACATGCAGCGCTCCCCTCCTGGGGAGTGTGGGGGGTGTGTCAGCTGCCGGCTGCGCTTGTGAAATCACACGCGTGCTGGAGTGCGTCCTCCGTGTGACGCTCTTGATTGACTCGGCCAGCGTCAGAGCCTCCACAGGTACCGTGCGCGTGAGAACGGGCTGTGTGTGCCACACGGCTGGGAGGTCTGTTCAGGCTGTGACGGCAGGCGTCGGCTCCCAGCCCCTGGGGACGGGCCCTGGGAAGCGGAGTCAGCCGCTGTCGGCCTGTCTGGGTCCTGCGCAGGGGCACCCAGGGAGCTCTCGGGGAATGTGTGGGTCTAGGCCGCACAGGGCTGCCTGCCCCGGGCGATCTTACAGCGTCAGAGACACAATCCCTAGGGGAGAAGCTGAAGGGTTTCTTGGCATCAGAGTTGGGTGGCACCTGTAGCTGAAATCGCCCTGGGTGCTGACCCTGACTAACACGAGGTACTTGCGCGAGAGCGGCTTTGGGACGGGGTAGCGCAGGTGGGAGCTAACCACAGGCACAGTGTGCTGGTGAGTTTCAGGGTTTGCACCTCAGAGCAGCTGTTGCCGCAGGGCCCCCGAGGGTGGCACGGCCGCTGTCCCCCGGGAGAGGTTGGGAGAGGTTGAGCGAGTGGCGTCGGCTGCCCGTGTCCCGGCTTCCTCCTCCCCACTCTCAGGCTGTGTGGAGGCTGTGCTGTGATCCCTGGTGCGCGGGAGACGTGCTGGGTCACACGGGGGTCTGTGCGGTGTGGGTCACAAGTAGAGGGGTAGACAGCCGGAATAATGGCCTTGGGTGCTGTCTTTACCCTCTGTTTTCATGCTCTGACTTCTTGCTGTGTGTGTAACTTAATTCCCCAGTCCTCTCAGGCTGGTTTCCTTGGGGAGCCACCTTTGGCACTCTCCTCACAGTTTGAGTTGCTCTTCTCCAGGTTTCCGAGGGTGCTAGGATTCTTCAGCTTCCTTCTCGTAGCTTTTTTGTGTGTTTTCTCCGAGTTTGACGGTTTTCTTGCCTGGGTCCTGTGTGTATCGCTTTCTTCCAGACTTTGATTCCAGATTTGACTCTGGGGCTTTGACTGAATCTTTGTTTCTTCCTGGAGTTGACAGACAACGTGAGGGACTCAGGAGCTGGTCTTCCTCTCCGCGTGGGCTAGGGCTTGCAGCAGGGTCTCCTCCGAGGCGTGAGGACGCCGGGCCGCTGACGCCGGCCGTGAGGCCCGTGGGCCGAGCAGACCCGCCTCTGCGCTTCCTTCACGCTGCTCGTGTCTCCTCCACGGAAGTGGTCCTGCCGCACGTGCTGGGATCCCATCCTGGACGATTATTTTACCGTCTGTCGTTCCCTCAATGATGTTTGGAGATTTATTTTTTTTTTTTTTTTGACAGGCAGAGTGGACAGTGAGAGAGAGAGACAGAGAGAAAGGTCTTCCTTTGCCGTTGGTTCACCCTCCAATGGCTGCCGCGGCCAGCACACTGCGGCCGGCGCACTGCGCTGATCCGATGGCAGGAGCCAGGAGCCAGGTGCTTTTCCTGGTCTCCCATGGGGTGCAGGGCCCAAGCACCTGGGCCATCCTCCACTGCACTCCCTGGCCACAGCAGAGAGCTGGCCTGGAAGAGGGGCAACCGGGACAGAATCCGGCGCCCCGACCGGGACTAGAACCTGGTGTGCCGGCGCCGCTAGGCGGAGGATTAGCCTAGTGAGCCGCGGCGCCGGCCGGAGATTTTTTTTTTAATAAATACAAAGCTTGGCTTTCAAAGTGGTGGGAGTATAGAGATACAGTGTCGTTTTTAAAATGATGCAACAAAAACCTAAAAATGGAACGCATTTGTTGTGGTGTGAATAACATTTTTCTTCTAATTTACAGGCAGAAAAAATAATTGGCCGCCTCTGCCTGCCGGCTTTCCCGTGGGGCCGTGCTTCTACCAGGACTTCTCCGTGGACATCCCCGTGGAGTTCCAGAAGACGGTGAAGCTCATGTACTACCTGTGGATGTGTGAGTACAGAGCAGGCCCGCGCGCGCTCAGCTCCTCCTCCTCTCGCCAAGGTGCACAGTGCGGCAGTCACCTTGTTCTGCAGACAGAGTAATGACTGTGATTGTTAGAGGTGAAACGCGTTGTCTAAATACTCTAACGTGATCCTGTATGGGACACACAGTCCTTGGCTGAGGAAAATTATGTATCGAGAACTGGCATTGTCTTGAGGAGGTGACAGCTTCTTTGTCACATGGGTAGAATTTTCTAGTAATCCTTTTTTTCTTGAAAGATGCTATCTAAGCTTCATTTGCTTCAAAAGAATCACGCACACCATTTTCGTGTTGAGGAAGCGTATTTTAAAACTTGTTAAATGCAGGCATTGTGGCTGTTTTAAAAAGCAGCATGAAATACTGTAAAACTGTAATTTGTTAATAGATTGGAGCCAAGGCTGCTTCATTTTCACATGGTCACGCATACTTCTGTGATGGACGGCACCTCGCTGATGCAGAACGTTTTCCTGAACAGAGAGGGGACGCCGCTCGGGTCGCGGTGCGCAGTCCCGGCGCTGGAACGCAGACGAAACATCAGCCTGTAGGCAGCCCTGCGCAGCCTGCCTGTTTGCACACAGACTGCCACCCACTCCTGGTTTTGTTTTTCCAGCAGAGGGTCCCAAGCTGGCTGGGTGTGGTCACATCGGTGAGGGAGGTGCTGGGTGGTTTGTGGGGTGCATTTGTGCTTCCAGTGATTGGTGAGACCCATTGCCGTACCCCACAGATAGATGAAGGCCTTTCCGTCAAAGTCTTGGAGGTGTGTTCTTTTTAGTTTAGAAATAAGTCACTTTATTCATTTGGGAGATGGAAGGCCACGCAGAGATCTGTCCAGTGGGTCACTGCTGAAGTGCCTGCGACGGCCAGGGCTGGTCCAGGCTGAAGCCAGGGCTCCCACCTGGGTGGTGTGAAGCCAGCCACTCGTGACCGCTGTGTGTCTTCCAGGCTGTGCATTGGCAGGGAGCTGGAATCAGGAGGGAGCCAGGACTTGAGCCAGACACTGTCCTGGGGGGTGCAGCTGTCCCACAGCCTCTGGGCTGCTGTGCCACATCACGGCCTGCAGGACCAGGCCTCACTTAGGTGCAGTTACTTTGGTCTGAGAGAGGTGATTCCCTGTGGATAGCACTGTTGGAAACTCTTACATTTAGCTACTTTTTAAAGATTTGGTTCTTGATCCAGTACCTTTTATTGAATCTCCACCCTCAATAATCAATATTTTTGGGGTCAAAGGTGTGGGGTGAGCTTTCAGCTGAGCAGTTATGGGGACACCTGCTTTCCGTATCCGAGTGGTGATGCAGGTCCTGGCTCTGCTCCCGGCTGTAGCTGCCTGCTGGTGTGTGCCCTGGGCGTAGCAGGCTGGGCTCAGGAGCCGCGTCTCTGCCACACATGTGGGATTCTCGGATTGGGTGCTTCACCTGTGCTTGGACTTGGCTCAGCTTTGGCTCTGGTGTGGCATGCCGTCTCTCTCCTCCAGTAAGCGAGGCACATGCCAGCAACCCATTTTAAATAATCTGTTACAGGTGCATTTAGATTTATATATGTGTATCTTTCACATGGTATCAGTTGGCCCAGCATTTTAGATTTTTTTTGTGAAGAAAACTATTGGAAGAAAATTGCACAAGGAATTTAGTAAATCTAGATAGGATGGGGTAGTTAATTTTAGCTAAAGCACAGATTACTTTGCCACGGAGGATTGTTTGAAAGTAGCTCTGTTTTGTCATGGAAATGCGTTTCCCTTCTGGGGCCAGTGTGGTGGTGCGGCAGGCTACGCTGCCACCACAGTGCTGGCGTCCCCAGTTGGAGTGCCCTTTCTAGTCCTGGCTACTCTTTCCTTTCTTTCTTTTTCTTTTTTTTAAAGATTTATTTTATTTATTTAAAAGGCAGAGCTACAGAGACAGAAGGAGAGAGAGAGATCTTCCATCCACTGGTTCACTCCCAGATGGCCACAGTGGCCGGAGCTGGATCGGAAGTGAAGCAGCAGGGACTTGAACCGGTGCCCACGTGGGATGCCAGCGCCTCAGGTGGCGCCACACTGCCGGCCCCACCCAGCTTCCTGCTGATGCCCTTGAGAAGGCAGCAGAGGGCGCCAGGGTGCCTGGGTCCCCGCCACCCGGAGCCAGGCAGAGGACCTGGCTTCCGGCTTGGGCCTGGCCCAGCCCTGGCTGCTGTGACCGTCTGGGGAGTGAACCTGAAGCTGGAAGTCCTCCCTCCCTCTCTCCCTCTCTTTCTGTCATTCTGCCTTTCAAATAATGAATAAGGAAGTGAATAAATCTGTGAAGAGAGAGAAACATTCACCTCTGGGCCCCTTAAAAATAACGCACGTTCTCCCCGGTGTTCCGGTGGCAGATCTGTGAACCCTGTGAAAGAGGACTCAGGGTGCCAGTTAGGTTTGTGTGTGGAAGGGAGGAAGGAGGGCTAAGCACCAGCTCAGTCGGTGCCTCAGGTTCAGGGAGCGTCACCCGTTGCTGGCCGCCTTCCAGCTGTGCCCCTTAGGGGAGAGCCTGACACGTATTAAGGATTAACCCTGTGCGTACCGCAGTGCGGATTACTGCATCCACTTCCCGCATCCTGCGAGCCAGCTCTGTCCTTTGGTGGTATAGATGGGGAAGCCCGCGCTTAGAGAGTTTGTGTAACTTGCCCAACAGTGTCCCACGAGAAGGACTGGTTGGATAGCTTGACTTTGGAAGCCAGGCCTGTATTTCCTCGTTACAACCCCTGCTCAGCACCAAAATGAACACATAACTTTAAGCGGAATATGATGAAGGTCTGATCCTTGCCCAAAGCAAGTAATTTATCCCATAAACAAAGCGGAGCAGTTTGAAATATCCCCATGGGATGAGTCTCCACCTTTTTGAATGTACTCTTGAATTGAAAGACAAAGAAAAGTGGGCGGGCGTTGTGGCCCAGCAGTTAACACGGCTCCTGGGAGGCCACACCCACATCACTGCCAGTCCTGCTCTCCAGTCCAGTCCTGCCAGCGCCAGCACCGGGCGGCAGGTGTGGTGCTCAGGTACGTGGGATGCTGTCACGCCCATGGCACACCAGGGTCGGTTCTTGGCTCCCAGCCCTGGCTGTTGTGGGCGTCTGGGGAGTGAACCAGCCTATAGAAGATCTGTCTCTCTGCCTTTTAAATGAATGAATAAATAAATCCTAACACTGAAAACCTTAAAGGGAAAAAAGAAGCCAGCTACGTTGGAGACCACTGGGTGCAGGAGGTGACACGGCGCTGTCAGCTGTCTGTGTTGTAACGCACAGTGCATCGCGCTGTGTGTGCAGAGCTGTGCTCCCAACACCAGGTCTGGGTGTGCAGGCCACGAACACACAGGGGCCTTCCCCTGGGGCTGTCAGCGCAGAGCCACTGCTCACTCAGGCTGGGCTGGAATCAGCACGCACAGTCACATGTGTCACACTGACACGCACAGTCACGTGTGTCACACTGCCTCAGTCACGTGTCACACTGCCTCACAGTCACGCATGTCACACTGCCTCACAGTCACACGTGTTACACTGCCTCATACAGTCACACATGTCATGCCATGCAGTCACACGTCACCCTGCCTCACAGTCACACATGTCACACGCCATGCACAGTCACACATGTCACACGCCATGCACAGTCACACGTGTCACACGCCATGCAGTCACGTGTGTCATACCGCCTCACACAGTCAAACGTGTCACACGCCATGCAGTCACATGTCACACTGCCTCACAGTCATGCGTGTCACACGCCATGAAGTCACATGTCACACTGCCTGACAGTCACACGTGTCACATGCCATGCACAGTCACATGTGTCACACTGCCTCACACAGTCATGTATGTCACACACAATACATAGTCACACGTGTCACACTGCCTCACAAGTCACGTGTGTCACACACCATGCACAGTCACGCGTGTCACACTGCCTCACACAGTCATGTGTGTCACACTGCCTTGCCTCTGCGTGAGTGGACATCTGTCAGGAAGGAGCTCTGGTCATATTAGTCTTCCCTCGGGTACAGCTGGGGGCTCAGTGATCATGCTTGTTGGTTATAATGAAAACATTCAGAAAAAAGTTTTGAGAGAGAGATTACATAAAATAAATTGATATTTTTTCATCTTAAGAATTTTGTGCACTGTAAAATGTGTGCAGGATCTGCCAGATGTGCGTGAAAAATGCACTGGTATTTTAATTCCGTTTTCCTACAGACTTGAGAAGCACACCATCCCACACGCACATTTCTCTCTTCCTTTAATGAGTCGGTGGATAACCTTCAGAACCACTGCCCTGGAGGCTGGGATTCACGTCAGAGCGTGGTCAGCAGTTAGAACTCTTTAGGCCGCTGGACGCCGCTGAGTCCTTAGGGGCCACTTCATGGTCTTGGAGATCTGTGTGCAGCCTTCCCTTGAGGGGCAGGGTTGTGAGTCAGGGCATCAGAGAGCCTGGGGCTCCCTGCTGGCATGGAGTGATGTGAGAGTCTCCCTGGGACTGCGGCCCGCGAGCCCTGCAGCCCCCCAGTGGGAAGCGGGAAGTCCCGGACCTGGGCTCAGCGATCGCTGTCACGCAACCCCCCTCCGCCGCCCTGCTCTGGGGCTCGTCCCTCCCCTACGCTCAGTGATGGCTGTCATGTATCCCCCCCCACCTCTGGGGCTCGTCCCTCCCCGAGGGTCTGTGATTGCTGTCACACACACACACACACACACACACACCCGCTCTGGGGCTCGTCCCTCCCCTACGCTACGCTCAGTGATCGCTGTCACGCGTCCCTGCCCTGCTCTGGGGCTCGCCCCTCCCCGAGGGTCTGTGATTGCTGTCACACACCCCCCCACACCTCCCCACACCTCTGGGGCTCACCCCTCCCTGAGGCTCTGTTGGTCAGAGGAGAGAGACTCCCAGCTCTCCCAGGTGTGGCTCTGTCCTGTTTCATGGTGAATTTTCTTGGTTTGTGAAGCAATTCTAACATCTGTTCTTACTGTGTGTTGGGGTTTTTATTCACCCTCAATGAGTGTTCCATTTGTTCACTTTCGTTCAGGCAGTGTTTGGTTGGCGTGTTTTATTGCATTGATAATTTACCTCTAGCATCACTTTAACTTGGATTCAGCGTGTGAGCACATTCAACACCCTTAAAGGAATGTGTTCTCTCTACAGGGGTGACGTGCGTGGGGTCCTAGTGTTTCTGCTGTTTCTCCTAGCAGGCTCCCTTGGGACTAGGAATCCGAGACCTGCGCGTGTTTCCTTCTCAGAGAGAAGCCCTTGAGCTGCTGCGTCTCTGGTTTGGGTGCAGAGTTCTCCCTGGAGAGGAGAGGCCACAGAATTTTTTTCAGACAGGGCATGTATGAGGACTTGGGTTCCCGTGTATACTTTGTTTTCAAACCAAATGAGAAACAGCAGTGTTTTGAAAAACGCTAAGTGGAAATGTGGAGGACACCTTTCCTCTTAGAAGTTTTCTTGTTTATGGTTTTGCTGAATGAATTCACCTGCTGAATGTAAGCATTTCTCTCTGTTCTTTTGTGATCCCACAGTCCACGCTGTGACACTGTTTCTGAATATCTTCGGCTGCTTGGCCTGGTTTTGTGTTGACCCCACGCGAGGAGTTGATTTTGGACTGAGTATCCTGTGGTTCTTGCTTTTCACTCCTTGCTCATTTGTCTGTTGGTACAGACCACTGTACGGAGCTTTCAGGTAACATGTGTGATTTAAAATGCACTCTTTAAAGTCTTCGCAGTAGATAATTGTGACTTTTTCATCAAAATTTTGAAAGCCTGTAACATCCCTTGAGAGAAGTCCAGTAGAGTTTGCCTGTGTATTTGTTGGGTTTTGTAAGTCACGAGCTCTCGTTCTTTTATCCAAATTATAAAAATGATCAAATGTGAGCATTGTAGAAGGGAAGAGAGAATGTCTTAGATCTTAACATCTGTAAAAAGACGCTTCCATGGGATAAACTTGACTCTAAGGAAAATCTTGCTTTCCACCCCCCAGCTCCAAACTCACACTTGGCGATTATGGTCTTAATTTCTGAATGAATGTAGGTGAGGTAAATTTTCACCCAGCGACTTAATAATTATGTTCTGTATAAATTTATTTTGGCTACAAGATTTAGTATAACAACTTTGCGTAGCGTATTTTAGTCAGTGGTTAGGAATAGCATTCCCTAAATGCGTGTTTTATGGGTAATTGATAGATGTTGGGGGCAAAAAGAGTTGATTAGCTTTCATGAGTTTGAAAGTGGGAAGATGACAGACTTAGGAAGGTTTCTTAATTTCGGAATTTCTCAGACTCTAACCACCCAGTGTGCTTTGTCACGTGACCCTGTGGTCTTGCCTTCCTGGGAAGCACGTGTGAAACTGTAGATTTAAGAGAAAGTCTTCAAGGAATTGGAACGCGCACCACACCTCCCCCTTGTCCTGAGTTAGAGTGAGGCGCATGGTGGATTGGGGGTTAGGAGGGTGCGGAACAGAAGTGAGGGCAGAAGGGACAGCTGTAGGCAGCTTGGAGAGAAGGGAGCGACAACAGGAGAGTGACTGGTTAGGAGCAGCGTGGAGGGAGGAGGGCCAGGAGGCGTGAACCTCTGGCCTCTGGAGCGTCCAGGAGTGTGGCTGGAGGGGAGCCCTGCGTGGTGTCAGAAGAGAGGGATCCCCGCCCGAGAGGGTGGCTCCCCAGTCGCCGCCCAGCCTCTGCGCACTCACGTCCGTGCTGTCACCATGAGTGACGCAGGCGGCCCGGATGGGGCTGTCGTTGTGAGACTTTTCTTCAAAGGTGGAGACACGAGACTTTGGCTTTTAAATCTTCTACGACTTAGAGAATAAGCTCCTGAAAGCCAGCTTTCTACGCGACCCTTGAAGTCCTTGGTGCCTTTCTTTGACAGGATTAGAGTTCTTGGTAGGACATTTTCAGTTCTGGGAGGAATACCTGTTCAGAGGGAAAGTCGGGGAAAGTGTTGACGTCACCAGTGGGCCTCCCGCCTGTGCCTTGGCCTCCCTTTGGCTGTGCCCGTCCTGCAGAGGTGAACCCGAGACGCACATGTTCAGGAGTGTTTTACAGTGCTGTTCCCGGTGCAGAGTTAAACATGGAGTTACCACGGGCGTGTTTTAGAAAGATTGGGACTGTGTTCTTAATTTTGTGTTTCCACAAACCACTTAGCAATATGTGATTAGGTAATTATTGCTAGGTAAATAATGATGACGTAAATATTAGCTACAATAAGCATCAGGTAAGTAATTATTAGGCACATATTAGGTAATTACCAGTGAGGTGGCCTTGTCGGTCGGGAGCGAGCTGAGGAGAGATGGGTTTCCTGGCCGCCTCACTCAGTCTGTGTCGTTCTGGTCAGACGGCGGTGACACCTCCCAGGTCCGGCGTTTGTGAGGTTAGCGTTAGCAGAATCCCGGAGAGGAGCAGACACTGGGCACGACCTCCCTCTGTTCGCTCCATTGTTTACTTTGGGTGATCTGTAAGTGAATTCTGATTGGTTACACGTTACGTTTTATTTCCTTGAGTGAGTTGTTCTCACGTGACCTGGTCTGAGCCCAGGACTAAGGACGGACTTGGACTAAGGCGTCCATTATGTTGCCAGATAAAACGGAACTTAGAATGCCTCGTCTGATAATGTGTTTTAAGGGAGTTTTGTGTCTTTTATGTTTAATGTGTTTGTGTATTAATCTCTGGCTCCTTACATCTGCTGCTTGCTATACTAAACTTTGACTTCATTTTCTCTTCTTTTAGATGAATCTTTCATACACTCTTATTGTTTTCTCCCTTTCCTTAGTACACATCTGCTGGCAGTGACCTCCCTCAGTTTCTGTTAGACCGAAGACGCTGTCGGGTCGTGTCCTTTTTTTGTTATTCCCGTGGTTTAGGCTCGGCGTGCCGGCTAAGTTCATACAGTGCGCCAGCACCAGCGGGTGCTCTTCCTCTGTTTTCCTCGTTGCTGTTGATAAGTTGGCTGTTTGCTGCGATAATACTTTTTCCCTTTTCTTTTCTTTTTTTTTTTTAAAGGAAATGTCTTTTACCTTGGGTTGTTTTAAAGATTTCCTTTTTGTGGTTTTCAGTATTTTTCTTTGTATTAATTCTGTAGACTTCTTGGTTTTATAGGTTGATTCTTTTTTAGCAGTTTAGAAAGAACTTGACATTGTTTCTTGAGACACCGCTTCTGTATCTTTCTCTCTTGCAGGTTGAGTTCACATAAATTAGACCTTTTCATTCTCTTACGTAACTTTAATACCTTTTCTAGTTTTTCTTACTGAGGTTTCAGTTAGAATGTTTTCTGTTGACCTGTCTTCTTTCTCTGTAATCCTCGCTTCGGTATTATCTAGTCTGAAGTTAAGCTCATATATTGCATTCTTTTTTTTTTTTTTTTTTTAGTTTTATTTATTTATTTGAAAGTCAGAGTTACACAGGGAGAGAAGGAGAGGCAGAGAGAGAGAGGCCTTCATCCACTGGTTCACTCCCCAACTGACCACAACAGCTGGAGTAGCACTGATCTAAAGCCAGGAGCCAGGAGCTTCTTCCAGGTCTCCCACATGGGTGCAGGGGCCAAAGGACTTGGGCCATCCTCCACTGCTTTCCCAGGCCATAGCAAAGAGCTGGATCAGAAGTGGAGCAGCTGGGTCTTGAACTGGCGCCCATATGGGATGCTGGCACTGCAGGTGGTGGCTTTACCTGCTACACCACAGCACTGGCCCCAATATTGCATTCTTAATTTTAGTAGTTTCAGTTTTATAACATGCACTCAAATCTTTTTAAAAAAGATTTTATTCTCTAACAAAAATCATTTGTTTTTTTTTCTGTGCATACTTCAATATCTAGGTCACTCGATGGATCTCTTTGTATTTTCTATTTTTCCTCTTATTTTAAATCATATTGTACCCTCTTTTAGCATATTTAACAGATCTTGGTTATGTCTGGAAGCGATTAATGAGAAATCATAGAGGACTATGATGATGTTCAGCTGTTTCAGAGAAGATCCCCCTTTTTGCTCTGCTTGCTGGCCAGGGCTGACGTCAGCTCTGTCTCCTGCCCCTCTCTGTCTCTGTCTGTGGCTCTGTCCTCTGCTCTCGTCCAAGGTTTTCTCCCGGGAGCCCGGGTGTTCAGCAGGGCGTCTCCCCTGGCAAGTCCTGGACTCTCAGTGTGCTCCCGTAGGTTCAGAAGTCCAGGCTGTCTCCTGTTAGTGTTGGTTGTTGCTGGCATCTTCGGTCTTTTACTGAGAATCACGTAGAGGCTGTAGGATGGATGGTATCCCAACAGGGGATACAGACGCAGCTAACAAGCAGAGCTTTTAGGAAGCCAAATATTAAGAGGTCTGTCAGAATATAAAGTAATACCTCTTTTATCATGATTTCTCATTAATCTTGTTTATTAACTTGTCACTGATACTTTTTTTCAACAAATGAATGAATGCTTTAGATACTTCTCTCTCTTTTTTTTTTTTTTTTTTTTTGGCAGAGTGGACAGTGAGAGAGAGAGAGAGAGAAAGGTCTTCCTTTTTGCCGTTGGTTCACCCTCCAATGGCCGCCGCGGCTGGCGCACCGCGCTGATCCGATGGCAGGAGCCAGGTGCTTCTCCTGGTCTCCCATGGGGTGCAGGGCCCAAGCACCTGGGCCATCCTCCACTGCACTCCCTGGCCACAGCAGAGAGCTGGCCTGGAAGAGGGGCAACCGGGACAGAATTCGGCTCCCCGACCGGGACTAGAACCCGGTGTGCCGGCGCCGCAAGGCGGAGGATTAGCCTAGTGAGCCGCGGCGCCGGCCACTTCTCTCTTTTAATACCGATTTGGTAAATCAGGAGCTATAACCCACAGTCTCCTGATGCCGTTGTTGGCTATTTGTCCCACGAGGGTTCTGTTTGCCTGGTGCTCAGTTTGGTGATGTTAAGAGGTAGTGGAACCTGTGAGAGTTAGGGGAGGGTGTTAGGTCACTGGGTTCTGCTCCATGGAGAGACCAAGGTGGTTCTCAGGAGGAGGAGGAGGAGGAGGTTGTCAGAAAACAGCAGGTCCCGCCCCTTCCGACTCCCTGACTTTCTGTCCTTTTCTTTTTTTTTTTTTTAAAAAAAAAGATTTATTTATTCATCTGAAAAGCCGACTTAGAGAGAGGCAGAAGCAGAGAGAGAGAGAAGTCTTCCATCTGCTGGTTCACTCCCCAAATGGCCCCAATGGCTGGAGCTGGGCTGACTGAAGCCAGGAGCCAGGAGCTTCATCCAAGGCTCCCTTGTGGGTGCAGGGGCACAAGGACTCGGGCCATCTGCTGCTGCTTTCCCAGGCCATAGCAGAGAGCGGGATCGGAAGTGGAGCAGCTGGGTCTGGAACTGGTGCCCGTGTGGGATGCTGGCACTGCCGGTGGCGGCTTTACCTGCTGTGCCACAGCGCCAGCCCCCGACTTCCTGTCTCACTGTGTGACTCCTTCCCCATGTGCTGCTGCACTGTGGTGCCGTCAGCCCTCAGTCCCTCTCTAGGGTGGGCACGTGGGGCTCTCTGATCTGGGACCAGAGGGCTCAGTGTGCAGCCACGGTAAACCTCTCCTCCTTACGCGTTGCTTGGCTTGGGAGTCTTGTTACAGCATGGAAATGGGCGGGTACAGTTGGGATCCTTAACAGTTTCTACGAGCGAAAAGGAGTCCTGGGACCCAAAAAGTGTGAGAGCTGGGTCCTTGTCACCTTGGGGAGACCACAGGAAGCCACTCTGCCTCCAG